ATGAAAATTCTCTCACGAAACAATGGCCGTTACAATGAGAACAATATTTCATCAAAACCATTATTAATTAACTTAGTCTTTAATAAGTTTGTTAAATATTAATAACAAAAAAAGGTAAGACAAATCCGCATCGTTCTAACCTTTTGAAGTTTTATGTAACATCAATTCAATAAATAAATACAACATTTCATCATCTTGCAGAAGTCACTGTTTTAATGAACGTCAATGCATTATGACCAACGCAGTAACTAAATATCCAATTGTTTCTTGACATTAAAATACTAACGCATTCGTATAAATGAAGTGTAGTAGTTATCATTACCCATAATTATTTGCTATCGACAATTGATCTGTACTATTACTGATTTTTATCATATGAGTGGCTACGCCCCGCCACACAGCCACTTTGGCTTGTACAATTTCAAAGTTAAAGTTCTGTATACACAGTGAAACTCGATAAGTCGGCTGCATAATTTATATTATCAAGTACTTTAAACAACATACCGACTTATCGAGTTTCACTGTGTACATCGTTTGTACCAATGCGTTTGTACGAACAAATCTAAACAATGCGTTTGTTCTCATTTATGGAAAAATACGCCCACAGCTACAGCATCAAGTACCTCGAACTTTCTATAAGCAAGATAAAGAATAAATGTTAAATACTTCGTGTCGCAAAGTCGTTTTCCTCAAAAGTTTCAAGTTTAATAAGCTAAATATTTTTATTTAATCACGAATTATGAATACTCGTTTATCTTTTACAAACAATCATACAACACATTCATTATATGCAATAGGTTTAAGTAAGGTTAGCCATAATTCTTGTGTCCTGTCACAGAACTCTAATCACTCTATCAATGCATAGAATAAGCTGCGAGAAAAAAGTTAAAAATCGTTAGTGTGACATAGACGCTAGACTTTGATAGATGAATTTGGAATCTCCATCGGAGTTTCATATATTTACTCATACTCCATTTTGTAAGCAACTATGGATGAACTAGAAATCATTCTTCCTCAAGAAGCTGATATACCAACGTCCGAAAATGAGGAAATAAATATTCTGTTGCTTGGTGAGACAGGCGTAGGAAAGTCGACCTTTATCAATGCCTTCGTAAACTATCTTAAATTTGATACGTTATACGATGCAAAGAACGAGGAATTGGAGGTGTTAATTACATCAAAATTCACCGTGACGGATGAAAACTACGAAATGAAATCAATCAAGATTGGAGATAATGACCCAAATGAACTAGCAGACGATAAGGGAACGTCATCCACGCAAGGTTGTATTGATTATGAATTCGCGATGGGGAACAACGCATTAGTCCGCTTAATTGACACGCCTGGAATAGGAGATACTAGAGGAATAGACAAAGACAAAGAAAATTTTGAAAATATTTTGAAGTATATTGCCCGATACAAGCATCTGAATGGTATCTGTATATTTCTCAAGCCAAATAGTGCGCGACTAACTGTTGTGTTTAGGTTTTGCATACAAGAGCTGTTATCCCATCTACATAGGAGTGCCAAGGACAACATTGTCTTTTGCTTTACCAATTCCAGAACGACGTTCTATCGTCCGGGAGAGACGCTTGTACCGCTCAGGGAACAGCTCGATGAGCTTAGGAAAAGATCTGGCATTGAAATAAAAATCGACCGAGACACAATGTATTGTTTTGACAATGAAGCGTTTAGATTTTTAGCGGCTATTAGAGGAGGTATAAAATTTAATGATGACGATGAAAAAAGCTTTGCAGAAAGCTGGAGAATATCAGCTGAAGAATCATCAAGACTCATTCAGCATGTAAGATCACGTCAACGACATGAAGTACAAGACACTTTATCTCTCAACAATGCTCGAAATATGGTAGTGGAACTTTCAAAACCTCTTGCAGGGATTGAACAAGTTATCCAGATAAACCTTAGCCTAATCAAAAGTCAACAGGACGACATAAAAAACTGCAGCAAAAACATAGAAGACTTGAAAAAAGACTTGTACATTCCACAAGTGGATCTCGAGGCAGAGGAATTGCAATATCCGCAAACTGTGTGTACCAGCCAAAGTTGTGTCGATGTCTTGACTACTGGAGAAGATAAAGTGAAAAAGTTTCACTACAAGACACAATGTCATTCACGCTGTTATTTAACAAATGTCACATGCAATGTGGTGAACAATGAAGCCTTGAGACACTGTTCAGCCATGGGGCCAAAGGGAACCTGTCAGCATTGTGGTTGCCTCTGGAACGCCCATATGCATATTACCTATGATCTTAAAGTTGTAGAAAAAAAGGTTGTGGACCCAAACATCGAAATGCGAATCAGTAAGACCAAGTCATTTCAAGAAACAAAAGCAGCGCTATTGGCAGACAAACAAAATAGGACGGAACTACTGAGAAAAGAACAGCATACAATAAACAGTATTAACATTCAGTTTGCAAAATTTCTAAGACAAAGTGCGATTGCTCCATTCAATGATGCATATGCTGACTACTTGGATCATTTTATAAACCAGGAGAAAATCAAGAAGGCTGATGATCTCTTTAATTACAATAATGAGATTCTCGACGGGCTCGAAGACACAAAGAGAGTGTATCTAACGAAGATAGAAAGTATTAAAAAAGCAATTGAGAATGGTGATTCTTCTGAACAATCGATCTCGCCAGAAGACATAGAAAGGCTTGCACAACAGTTGTATTCGCTAGAACTCACTGGTAACACCCTGAAAAAAATAAACGATATAGTAGTAAGCAGTCAAGCTTCTGCGTTCTTTAATGAAAGAAATAATAGCTCAATGAGGAGGAAGAGAATGTTTTTTGCAAAGCGGGCACGAGGCAATCGCTATTTGCCCCAAAAAATTTACCAAGCGCTGTCTTCAATTTGGAAGTGATTGAGTATTGGTATGGTGCTTCTTGCTCTTGGTACATATATTTATTTTTGTAATTGGTAACTTGCTTATCTTTTAAATGTTTTGTTAAAAATCCAGAATTGCATGTATAATAAATTCAGTTGATGTTTTTCAATAAAGGACAA